GATAAGAAAAATAAATCAATCCTTTCTTAAATGAAGGCAGCAGAACATACTGAGACAGTACCAGAAGCCACAAAAGAAACTATTTCACCAATTCCTTGAGAAGCCTGAATATATATCCTGGTGCTTGCTGCTGTAAATGCCAACGTAAGGATATACTATCTCTAAAGCAGTCACATTGTAGATGATTCATATTACTCATGGACAATGACAGCTCAAGGCAATATTTCACACACCTAGAAGCATCACTCGAGTCTGATACAAACTGAAACACAGCACTTGGTTGATAACAACAGATGCACCCTTACTCAGAGTAAACCCTCAGGTACCACATAGGGCTCCTTTAAAACATTTAAGTTAATACTACTCTCTCTGTTTTCAACAAAGGGAATCTATGAGGATTAGTTATATCCACTCCTCATATTCTACAAGACAAACCCTTCTTACAGGAATCACAGGGATTGCAAGAAGGGTAAGGCACTTGCCACATCAAAACAGACCCCCAAAACTGAACACTCTGTGGGCTAAACTGCCCTGAAACATCAGTCCTGCTAAGATAAGGAGTAAGCTGTAACATTTAAGCACTTAGTGTTAAAGAACAGCACTTACATTTGATCTTGTTCTGCTTGCTTGGGTGGGAGGATGCTGGTTTTATCTATTAATTTTAGTAGTAGTAGTAGTATGTATAGTATGAGGCTTCCCTGCCCATGGCAGGGGGGGTGGAACTCAAGGATCTCAAGATCTTTTCCAACCCAAAGCATTCTATGTTTCTATGATTATTATTTAGCCTAAGTTGTACAAAAGCTTGAGCAATTCAGCATACAAGCTTTTGAAGCTGGAAAAGATTAGTTAAACCCAAAAAACATCTCTACTACTTGACCTCTAGCTCTCAGAAGTCAATTCAGAGCTCCTGTGAAAGGAATTACTACACTACACAATAGATTTGATCAGTGAGGGATGGAAGAGTTGTTTTAGGGCTTAACAGTGTCCAAAAACCATGTAGATGAGGCCCTCAGTGACATGGTTTAGTGGTGGTCTTGGCAGTGCTGGGGTAATAGTTGGACTCGATGATCTTAAAGGTCTTCTCCAGCCTAGTTGATTCTATGATAGTAAAATAATTCTCTTCAACTGCTTTTTCCATTTCAATTTGTTTAATATTGTAGAGCAGGATGTGGAGCAGTTAGTCATCCACCTCCACAAGGGAGGCAGACTGGCAAGGTGCAGCCTCAGAAAGGCAACAAAAGGCATGTTTCACTATTAAAACAAATGGATTTGAATAAAGGTCATTGTGTTCAGAGAACGTAAAGAGAATGCAAATATGAAGTGCTACAAAAAACCACCTTCACATCTCTGAACGCGTACAATTGATCGGCTGCCATCATTTACACCAGCTCTTTAAGGAGGGAATGGCAAAGAACTGCATGTAGGCTTCTGGAATACAACACAGCAATTTGTACTAAAATTAGCATATTACAAACAACTTGCTAAATGGCACAAAAGACTTAATTTGCACAACAAGCTTTCAATTTTTCTCTTCAGCCCCAAACCTAAGGAACACATAGCTTTTCATACTGACCTGCCAATATCCTTCAAGTGCTGGGCCTCCAACAGTTTCTTATCAATTATTTCTACCAAACATTCAATGCAAAAGTTTTAAATACTATAGTATCACAGAATTACAGAATGATTTGGGTTGGAAAGATCATCCAGTTCCAACCCCCGTGACATGGGCAGGGACACCTCACACTAGAGCAGGTTCCCAAGGCTCTGCCCAACCTGACCTTGAACACTGCCAGGGATGGAGCATTTATCGCTTCTTTGGGCAATCTGTGCCAGGGCCTCACCACCCTTACCATCAGCTTAACTAAGTGGTATAAGGATGGGGAGAAGTCAGAAAACAATTTTCACTCTTCTGTGAGGTAACATTTAAAGTAACACAGGCTTTGCATGAGTTTTAAAAGCAGCACCATCAAAAATGACCACAAAGAGAGAGACAGGAATTAATATGCAGCCCAGAAAGCCAACCATATCCTGGCTTGCATCAAAAGCAGAGTGACCAGCAGGTCGAAGGAGGTGATCCTGCCCCTCTACTCTCCTCTCGTGAGACCTCACTTGGAGCATTGTGTGCAGTTCTGGTGTCCTCAACATAAAAAGGACATGGAACTGTTGGAAAAAGTCCAGGGGAGGGCCATGAGAATGATCAGGGGACTGCAGCACCAGTATCTGAAGGAGGCCTATAAGGATGCTGGGGAGGGACTCTTCATTAGAGACTGCAGTGATAGGACAAGGGGTAATGGGTTCAAACTGAAACAGGGGAAGTTTAGATTGGATATAAGGAAGAAGTTCTTTACTGTGAGGGTGCTGAGGCACTGGAATGGGTTGCCCAAGGAAGTTGTGAGTGCTCCATCCCTGGCAGTGCTCACGGCCAGGTTGGACAGAGCCTTGGGTGCCATGGTTTAGTGTGAGGTGTCCCTGCCCATGGCAGGGGGCTGGAACTGGATGATGTTAAGGCCCTTTCCAACCCTAACTATTCTATGATTCTATACATGTGTATAAATACGTATATATATATTTATGTACTTTCTGGTTGGTTTGCCATCTGAAGTTGAATTTTCAATGGATTAAGGAGGCCATAAAGACACAGCAACTGACAGAAGCCCACTGGGCCACACACACTCTGACTATACTCTCAGCTCTTCTGCTAGAGGAACTAGATTGCAGGGTAATGTCTCTCTCATCTTCCAAAGTCATTATTAGCTACAGATGAAGTATTTTAGAGGAAGTTAGGAACGTTGTTTTATGAAACCCCTTGGTTGCTTTATGAAAGATACATTGCCAACCAACTTTTGCTGCCTAAGATTAAAATGCAATGGATTCATATTAGAAGTAATAATTTCCTCTGACCTTAAAAGTGCAATTATAGAATTAACGCTAAAGAAAATCCTGATAACTTTACTGAAATTATCTACTCTTAGGATAAACCTCAAATAAAGCAGCCTTATTTACTGTTTTGCTTTTAAACCTGGGCCATTTAAACGCTTTCATTTACAGCACAGCCCTCATACACATTTATTTCAGTGCAACACCCCAACAAACACCAAAACCTTGAGGAGGGAGCAGAACTCCTATAATCAGTCCCTTTTTCTTCAGAGCACGCACATCTTTCCACCTCCCACCCTTAATCTCATCTTCCTTCTGCATAATCTAGCAGCAGATGAGAAGCATCAGTTCGCAAAGGCAACAATGTAGGGATTATTTCCAAAATCTGCACGCTAGGCAAATTTGTCTTCACATGGGTGAAGCAACAGTGAGCGCTTCCTCTTCCCTGGGAGGATTAGCTCACCCCTTACATTTTACCCCGAGGAAGACACATAAATACCTACTCTGCAAAAGCCTCATTCTGGTTAAAGACTTCTAAGTTTGTCCTGGTTTTAAGTGTTTAGTTTTGTTCCCTCTTCAGCCCTGTCTCCTCTCAGCCATAAATCTCCCCACCAACATCCTTTTTCCTTGGAGTTTCTACGCCGCCTATGCTACTGTCATTCAGACCCTGTCCTCCTTCCCATTCCCACACTTGGAAACCTCTTTCACAGCTATTCCTTTCAGTCCTTCACCCATGCCACTGTTTGTAACCGGCAGCCTGGCATGGACGCCCAGAACCTTCCACCTCCTGCATGCCAAGCTCTTCCAAAGCGCTGCTGAAGCATCCCAGCTATGTAAAAGGACTTCTTGGATTGCCCACTCCAAGCACTTCAGGGTAGGTTAGCACCTGCACTCCAGTACTGTTTTCCTAGGGTCTTAACACTTCAAAAGCAGCTGCTTATCTTATACATGTGAAAGCTTTTAGGAGGACAGGGCGTCTGTCAGGTGGTAGCACATAACTACAACTACACCCTTTAAAGTCACTGCTCAGGGTACAAAACCACTCAAGTTTTAAGCAAAACAACAGTGATACAGGGCTTGATCCTTCACCAGCTACTGCAATATACCCCCTTCTCATGCACTCAATGACCCTGTAGTAAACCTTCTTTTATCCCTGGAGACATTCATGGCCAGGTTGGATGTGGTTCTGGGCAATCTGATCCAGTTGAGAATGACCCTGCTCACTGCAGGGGAACTGGGTCAGATGAACTCTGAAGGTGGCTTCCAACCCAGGCTATTCTATGATTCTTCCTGCCCTAAAACACACTGAATAGATCCGATTGCCTCTCTAACAGAGTTTAGAGGTCCAAACAACAGCCTGCTCTCTTTACCAGCACTCTGAGCTACCCTAAAAGCCCACCACCTGCAACAGAGCAACTCTTCAAGCTACTCTAAGTCCCACCACCTGCAGCAGAGCAACCTGATGATGGTCACGACCCACCAAAGGACAGCCGGGCAAAGGTGCCTCTCCTGGATGAAGGCGCCTCTTCCATACAAAGATACCTTCTCCCTCTTTGCTCTCCTTGAACAGCTTCACATGGGTTGACCACCCATGGCTGGGCAGATGCTCCCGTCTCACAGGGACCAGAGCCGCAGACCCACAGCACAAACAACCCAAGCACAACTGGGTTCACCCACCCATACAGTGCCACACAACCACCCCTGCTGCAGCACCGAGCCCCCCACCAACCCCACTTCATCCCACATCAGCATGCCTCCCTATACCCCTGAACACCCTCCTCCTGCCCCACCACCACTTCAGACACAGGCCATAGGGATGGAGGGACCGAAACAACACAGGGGAGAGAGAAGACCAAACCACCCCCTCCTTAAGCCACGGATTTGAGGAGGAAGGAGACAGGAAAACACCCATTTCCACCCACCGGCGCTGGCTAAAGGGCAGGGGCCCCGTTACCCCGCTATCTGCCCCACTGAGGGAATAGGGCCCATGGAGCAAGGTGGAGGGGGGGGAATTCCCTGCCGTGGGGCCTAGTCGGTGGGGTGAAGGCACGGAGGGCTGGCGGGGGTTGGTGTGACTGAAGCAGCGGCGGGACGCGGCTCCCGGCGCCGGGGCGGCCACTCACAGAACTCGGCGATGTAGTAGGAGACGGCGTAGTTCTCCTCGCACCACTCCAAGGTGGAGGTCGGCGTGCCCCAGTAACCCTCCCGGTCAGCGGCCGGAGCCATCGCTGCGTCCGCTTCAGGCCAGAGCGGAGCGCAAGGGGAAGGAGGGAGAAGAGAGAAGGAGAAGGGAGCCGGGCCCGGAGCGCGGCAGCGGCGGGCGGGATCCGCGCTGGGCCCGCCTCGGTAGGGGAGGAGCCGCCGCTGAGGGGAGCGCGGCCTGAGGGGTTGCTATGGCGACGGGCTGCGGCCTGCGGGCCGCGCTGCTCCGAGAAGGGGGAAAACGTGGAAAGGGGGAAAATACCGAGGTGAAAAAGGCGGATTTAAGGAAAACCTGACTGGAAAGAGCGGCTTTATGGCCCCGAGGGCCCGCGCTACGCCCCGGGGGAGCGGAGGCAGGATGGGCGCCATCAGGGCAGTTCTCTCCTCACCCCTTCCTCCGTTAAAACCCCGGTCGGTTTGGTGGCACCGAGGTGTTTTCTCCTCTTGTAGACCGCAGGGAGGGTTTGTGACCGTGTTTTAAGAGAAGAGGCAAGTGTTTCTCGTAGGCTGGGAGGAGGAAGGAGTCTTTTTATAGCGCTGCCTACTACATGGGGGTTTTCTCTCCTCTGATGCCTTATTTAGTTACCTCAGTGCTTACTACGTGTACTATACTTACACCCGTAATATGCAAAGTGCTTTTCGAGCGGGGTTGGTATCCAAAATAGAGCCCAAAAAGGAAAAGACTTGAAACACATGGGAAAAGAGATAAAATATACAACCTAATAATACGGTGTTGGTTTTCTGGTTCAGAATAAGGTCTAAAGACTTGATGAGAAGCTTCAGGCAGACCTTGAGGGCTGTGCACAGTGATTGTACCCTACTGGTCATCAGGATTTATTATACCTGCATATAAACTTCTTTTCAATGTCTTATTTCTCCTCAGTACTGCTTCTGTAAGCTAAAAAACAATCTATACACATCCCTTTCTCCGTGTAAATGCTGATGTTTCATCATGCATACATTTAGCATGAAGAATAGCCTGCCTTCTGCTGTTCAGCTTGTCTGTCATTGCTTCCAGCATCAGGCACAGATGCAGTTAACGTTTTGATATAAAGCCTTCAAAGAAAATTGATTTTAGTCAATGATAAAATATTTCAATTGTCAAAACACCATCAAAATCACTGTGGATTTCTTTATGCCTTTTCTTCAGAGCTTGGAGTCAGGGATGCCAAGGATCTGAGGCCAGCTATACCCCAACTGAAGAAGAGATACTGGCAGCCTATGAAGGGGTTGGAGCTGCTTCAGAAGTGACTGGCACTGAAGCGCAGCTCCCCCTGGCACCCTGGTTGCCTGTGCTAGGCTGGATCTCATTTACACACAGGTTCTGGTGTCCTCGACACAAGAAGGACATGGAGCTGTTGGAACAAGTCCAGAGGAGGCCACGAGGATGCTCAGGGGCTGGAGCACCTCCTGTATGGAGCCAGGCTGAGAAAGTTGGGGCTGTTGAGCCTGGAGAAGAGAAGCTGCGTGGAGACCTCAGAGCAGCTTCCAGTGTCTGCAGGGAGCTACAAGGATGCTGTGGAGGGACTCTTCATTAGGGACTGCAGTGGTAGGACAAGGGGTGATGGGTTCAAGCTGAAACAGGGGAAGTTTAGATTGGATCTAAGGAAGAAGTTCGTTACTGTGAGGGTGCTGAGGCACTGGAATGGGTTGCCCAGGGAGGTTGTGAATGCTCCATCCCTGACAGTGCTCAAGGCCAGGTTGGACACAGGGGCTTGGAGCAAGCTGCTCTAGTGGAAGGGGTCCCTGCCCGTGGCAGGGGGGGATTGGAACTGGATGATCTTAAGGTCCTTTCCAACCCTAACTGTTCTATGATTCCATGATCATGCAACGGATGCTACATGGAGTAAGTGATCTGCACTAATTACACAACGAGCTCGAACAGGAAATCCCAGTTATCCAGGAATTCTAGAAGTCATCATGCACTGGTCAGAGGGCAAAGATTTTGGAATGTTATCAGAGGAGATTATCTTCCCCAGATTTAGATATGAAAGACTGAGGACAACATGAGTACTGAACTGGTTCAGAAGCACAGAACTGGTTGTTAGTGAGGAAGATTCTAGTCTTCTTGATGAGCTTCAGCTTTCTGGACATTTGAAGGTTCAGTTTATATAGTAAAGACGTTTGTAGGGCTCTCATCTATCTGGTTGCCATTTTAAGCTTTAAAGTTCTTAACAATGAAAAGCTTTAAATTAGTGTTGTTCAGAAACTAAAGCAATAAGTCTTAAATATCCCATTTGCACACCAGGAGTACAAAATGGGAACAATATGAAAAACGAAGCAATTTGTATAACATTCAATTACAGATGGCTTTAAATAAATCATTACAATTATTCATGCTTCTTTCTTTTCTTGTCACATGCGTGCTGGACATGAGAAGATTTGTCACCACAATAGGAAAGGAAATCAGACATGAAACAGGCTTGAAAACCAGACAAGATAAATTAATGACAGATTGTATGGAGTAGATAGCAACAACAAGATGGGTTATTTTCCATTCCGTTTTTCCTACATAGGCAAGCAAAAATGTCTAACTAGCCCCTAATTTGAATCACTGGGAATCTGTATTTATTTGACATGTTTCTGTAGTATTCTCCATCACAACATGCATTTGCTTCTGACTTACTCTGTGGTTTGGTTCTCTGCTTCTGCACTCAAGCAAACATCTCAGTCATTGCACACAGAAGGGTGGTATTGAAGAGGCAGCCACAAACTGTTATGTGTTTTTCCCCCCGAAGCTGTTCTGTAAAGGTAAATTCATCTTCCAGAAAACCAACTTTGACCCTTTCAGCTGTTAAAATAATACGTATTTTCATACCTGAATGATTCTATGATATTGAAAACAATACTTTTCCTCTGTAACTTTGAGCTACGCTCTGTAGTGAATATTACTCCACTGGCTGTAAGGTGACAGCCTGAGGTTATTTACATTTAAATGTGGTCTGTCTTACTAAACCATAAAACCTGTGTCCAGATATTGGATTCTTTTTCTCTGCTCTGTATGGCTTATGGAGGGAATGTCTTGCTTCTGAAATAACAAGAAGAAAAACAAGCCCAGAGTTCCTGAAATGAGTATTTTCAGTATTACTAAAACTGTACTTGACATGCCAGTGGAGTCATTTCCTGTGCCTTGACGTTGCCTGTGGCAAAGGATCCTCTTTCCATACAGTTTTATGTTGCTCTGAAACCTCATGGCTTAACTGATGAGTTAGGTTAGTTGAGTCATGTCAGTTTACACCACTAGAGGGGTATGTCCAGTACATTTAGTGTCTGGATCCAGTAGCTTTTTTTTACTTGGGAATGGGAAAGGGCTGCTGTTCAAAAATCCCATGTGTTCAGCTGTTTCTCTTTGTGATCTGTCAAATTCAGGGAGTGACACCTGAATAAGAGCACTTTTCTCTCACTTTGCTCTATGTAAACACTTTTATCATGGCTTGTGCTGCTACTGGTTTCAATTCCGTGTAAAATGAGACCTAACAGATTGATTAGAACTCATTATGGCTGCGTATGATGGAGAAGACTGTAAATATTCATAGAATCATAGAATTACAAAATGCTTTGGAATAGGAGGGACCTTAAAGGTCATCCAGTTCCAACTCCCTGCCATGGACAGGGCCACCTTCCACGTTAACTTTGGCAGGTTAAAGCCATTCACCTTTGTCCTGTCCCTACAGGCCCTTGTCCCAAGCCCCTCTTCAGCTCTCCTGCAGCCCCTTTAGGCACTGGAGCTGCTCTCAGGTCTCCCCTTCAGGAGCCTTCTCTTCCCCAGGCTGACCCAGCCCAGCTCTCTCAGCCTGGCTCCAGAGCAGAGCTGCTCCAGCCCTCTCATCAGTGTGTGTTTTTATGAAGGGAAAGATAAAATTGTCACAAAATCTTGATGTTTTCACTACTTGGTTCTAATAATAAAATAAAGGTGTCAGTTGCAGAAATAAAGGTAGATTTTGTGCTACAAATTGGCTGATCAAATTTTACATTAATTATGAACCTGTGCCTATTCTAGGATCTTATTTTATAGTTGTATAGTGTATAACAACATCCTAGGCATGGAATTCTGAGTCAGGGCTCTCAGCTGGAAAGCCTCACATCCAATGATAATGTTGTTTTCCAGTCACTGCAGCTCAAAATGTCATTATTGGCAGTGTTCTGAGCTGTCTAGTCCATACTGGTTACAGAAAAGGTCATTAACACCTCTAGATCCTGCAAGCCTCATCCTGTGTAGCATGTAATTTATCCCACTGATTTATATGCAGATAGCATGAGTAAGATGCTAAGAGCAGGATTATGAGAAGCTGAATCAGACTGTTTGTAAAGTGCCTTGAAATTTAAGGGATCTTTATGAGCACTGTTGTTGGGATGATGGTAATTACACCTGAGGTAATATCACAGAAACTTATTGCATGTGGATGAGTGAAAAAGTTGTTTCCTAGTGAAGAAGGATCTGATCCTATGAACTTCAGACTGTAGCAGAATTGATTCCCTGTTCATAGCTATGGAAAGCAGAACTGTTTGCACTGGAGTTAAATGGAGTCATGAGCTGGTAAAGCATCATCAAAGGGACTCGGGTCCTACAGCTGTATAAATATTCATCAACTCTCAAGTGTACTGTGACTGTTCCTGGTCATATTTTCAAGGTTATTGTAAGCATTTTGGCAAATGGCTCTGGTAGTGAATGACAGCAGCACAGATTTCAGCTCCGTGGGTGCCATTGGCATCCAGCTTTGATGGGCTCAAGTATAAGTGCAACAACTTGAATAGTCCTATAAAGGGTTGATGAAAACAGGGGCTGCTGTGTGCAGGTATTTAGGAAAGTAGATGTGACCTACCGAGGACGGGACATTCCTTCATGCAGAGGATAATCAGTCCTGTGTCCAGCTCTACAACACAAGAGGGACATGGAGCTGTTGGAGCAGGTCCAGTGGAGGCCACAGAGATGCTGCGAGGGCTGGAGCAGCTCTGCTCTGGAGCCAGGCTGAGAGAGCTGGGCTGGGTCAGCCTGGAGAAGAGAAGGCTCCTGAAGGGGAGACCTTGGAGCAGCTCCAGTGCCTAAAGGGGCTGCAGGAAAGCTGGAGAGGGGCTTTGGACAAGAGCCTGTAG